GTGACTCGATGACTCAGCAGCCACCAGGAACTGCAGGAGAGCTTCGGACTGGTAAGGGGGAACTTGAAGCGATGTGCTTTCCGTCCTCCCGTCTGGGAGCAGTGGGTGTTTCTAGCAGAAGTACTGCCACGTAGCTTAGCACTTTCCATTTTGGTCACTCTATAATCAGTGACGAGCAACAGAGGTGCCCCGTGCTGAGGCCCACTAGGCTGTGCAGCAAAGTGAGACAGAGAAGTGCAGCAAGGCTGCCTGCGGACGACCTTGGGGCTGACCAGAATCAGACACTGGCCGCAGAAGCCCCTTGTTGCCACTTCTTAGGAGATGGCCCACTTTCAGCTGTCCCCACTCCTGTGCATGGCTAGTGCTTCTGGGCTCTGGGGCCACGAAGCCGGCCTGGTACAGGCAGCACTGCAGGGAGGTGCATCTGAGCTTCCGCACGGCTCCCTTCCCCCAGGTCAGGCCAAGATGAAGCAGAGGGACTGAAAGATGTTTAAAGGCAAAATAAGGTCAAAGGAGAAAACCTATCTAGAATCATGGAAGAAAGTTATCTTTAAGGCACGTGGTTTTTCACTGATCAGAAAGCTTAGCAAGTACGGTAGTTCAACCTTAGCCATTACCACGTGCCAGCAGCCTTGCTCAGTGCACTCCATGGATTACTGTACCCATTTCATCCAGTGTTACTGTCTGTGAGGTGAGCATTCTTACTGTCCCTAGGGCTTAGGGGGCTAGGAGACGATCAGGTAGGATAAGGAACCTGTAGAGTCACATGGCACAGAAAATGTAGCTCCCGGATTCCTGGATCGGAATCTGTTTCTGGGCCTATGTTCCTCACCCGCCTTGCTGCAGCAGCTTGTTTACGGTGAGATTGTGCTGGTTTTAACCGGGGGATGCAGAAGCGGGATGCGGTCCCTGTGCTGAGGACGTGGCACTGGGCCTCATGAGTCTCACACTATCTACGCCTTTAGGGGTGGCGCCACAGATCATACAAACCCTTCTGTCCTACTCCCGAGGTTTATCGCGGGACCTGTGATGTATCAGAATAAATCTGTGCCCGTAACTAAGTGCAATACCTAAAACTGCTGGGTGGGGCCAGCCCTTTCTCTGCAGCAGCCATGGCTCTGTGCCACCTGCTAATCATAGGCCTCCCCAAGGGCCACATGGTGACCAGAACAAGGTAGGGTGAGGCACAGCCAGCACTGCGGGCTGCACCAAGCACACCAAGTCGGTGTGGGACAGGATCTGAGAGGCACATGGTTTGGCCCCATGGGAGCGACACGTCATGTTGCTGCTCAAGGTCTCCAAGGACAAACTGGCCCTCAAATTTGTCAAGAAAAGGGTGGGGGGCCGGGGATTTAGCTCAGTGGTTTCGCCACCTGCTGAGCAAGCGCAAGGACCCAAGTTCGATCCCTGGTACCAAAAAAAAAAAAAAAAGAATAGGGTGGGGACACACATCGCGCCAAGAGGAAGCTCAAGAAGCTGAGATGTCCTGGCTGCCAGGAAGGACTGAGCCTTCTCCTCCCTTTGTGTAACAAACCGTTATAGGAAAAAGAACAAACCAAACAACAAAACCCCACAAAACTTCTTCCATAAAAGCAGAGCAAAAATAAGTCCCAGTGGTCTTCAGAGGGTGGTCAGTTGCACAGGGAAACCCAGGCCAAAGGGAAGGGACTGAAAAGCATTTGCTGAATTCTTCCAGTGCTGGATACTAAGGCTAGGATGCCTCAATTTACTGGGGGGGGGGGGGCTTGTTAAATCCCCTATCCTGCAAGAAAAATGTAAACATAAAACTGTATTTTTGTGAGCAAATCTTTTATAAATTTCCCCACATGCTTTGTGAATGTTATATTTAAAAAAATATCGAACATTAGCATTTACATTGGCTTCTAATTTAAGTGACATTTCTCCGACTTGAAAAATTTTCTATCCACTTTTCATAGTCCAGCTTTCTACCTAATACTGCTATTTAGTTGCTCTTTGCTATGGAAGATGGTGAGAGGGACTCACCTTCTGAGGGCCCCATGCCCTGAAATGCTTCTCCTTGTGGAAAAAGGTTTGTACTGTCCACAGTTGGAGAGTGCTGTTCTTTTCAGGGAAGGCTGATGGGTCATTATGGGACTCAAAACTTGAACTTGACACTGACACCATACTGTTCCTAGGGAAACACTTATGACAATCTGCACTGGATCCTAAATAGTAATCATCTTTGAAAGCTTATATCAAGACAAGAGATTCATAAAAGGTTGAGCCTGGAAGGGATATTAAAATCATTTAGTATAAGTTCACATTTTTATTCTGGCAATAAGAGCTCTTGGGGGGAAAACCCCATATATTTTATACAGGTAAGGATACCAAAACCCAAAGAGGAAAGTGACAGGTCCAAGGTCTTGTTAGTGGCTTTCAACCTTGGCTGTATACCAAAACAATTGGGAAAGGTTTTATTTAACTTTATTATTATTATATGTTCGTCATATATAATAATCACATTCACCATAGGGAATTTGTACCTGTACATAATATATCTTAATTCTTCTTTTTTCCCATTCCCCTCCTCTCCCCATTTACACAAGCTTTGTTTCCATTTATTTCTTCTATTCTCTTTTTTTCCCTTTCTCTCCTCCCTCCCTTGTTTCCCTTCCCATTTGAACATGTTCTTCTTACAGGAAAGATTTTAAATAGTACTGATGCATTGGGCTCACTGCAGACAAATCCATCAATCTTTCTTGATCCAGGGCCTAGGTGCAGCACTTTTTAAGCTTTTTTTTTTTTTTAAAGCTCTTTTCTTGACTCAGTCTGGGTTGAGAACTACTGAGCTGGACAAAAACCCAAGTCCTAACCCTTTCCCAGGGTTATCAAAACCATGGGAACTTCTCACTCCTCTTCCCTGAGCCCACGGCAAACTTGACCAATGGATTACAGAACTCTTTCTTGGTGTTCCATGCCTATCCTCTTCTTGGATCATTATTCCTGATGGGTCAACCTGATTGGACTAGGAAATGCCTCACAGATTAGTAAAGCTCCCTCCATGTCTGTGGGGTTACGGAGGCCTGACTTTGGGTACTATATATGGTCCCTGGCCCCTTCCTCTGGCACTGTTCCTGGCTAGCTCCCATGAACCAAACTCTTTGCTCTGCCATGCCTTTCTGCCCTGCCATTTCTGCCTTGGAGCTAGCTGACCATGGACTGAATCCACTGAAACCATGAGACAAACCTCTGCTTCTTTAAACTGTGGATAAGGGTATTGTGTTCCAGCAATGGGGAAGCTAATACATACCTCTTCCTGAACACTGGGAGACAAACTGAAACCTAGCTCCTTAGGCACTGTATCTTCTTGTTTCCTTTAAACAAAAACACAGAAACTTTCTGAGAGTATTATTTTGGCAGTACTGAGACCGTACAGTCTCAGTCTAGTATACTCATCCATCAGCCCATTAGGGGTCCGTGGTACTCAACTGAGGTTCAGCTCTAGCTTAGATATCACTGCAAGCAACTTCTTCCCCGTGTACACAGATCAGAGTTGGGTGGATCTAGGTTTGAATGCTACACTGCTATTTACAAACTGTGATTCTCGGCAGTGTTTTTTGTGCCTCCGTTTTCTCATCTGTAAATATGAATCCTATGAAATTATCTCATGGGGCCATCTTTCTTGCCTCTTCTCTGGTATTACTCTCCAGCAAAACTGATACCTGGGCCCTCAGTCTTTTCTAGTCTTATCTGTCTGATTCCCAATCCTCTGATCCCCTAGATACTAACTTTTTCTAAGGAAGAAGCTCTGGATGAGAAGGAATCCTTAGGATAGAGTAAGGACACAGCAACAAACTCATGAAACTATAGTTATCTGATTCTTGACAAAGGAGCCAAAAACATATGTTGAAGAAAAGATAGTTTCTTTAGGAAACAGTGCTGGGAAAACTAGATATTCATGTGCAGAAGATCAAAACCAGATCCGTATCTTTCAGAAACCTTGTAAAAATATCAACTTAAAATGGATCAAAGACATAGATATAAGACCTGAAATTTTGAAACTTTTAGAAACATAGGGGAAATGTTTGAAGCCATAGAGACAGGTAAAGACTTCCTGAATAGGACTCCAATAGTACAGTAAGTAATAGTAAGACTCGCTGGGCATGGTGGGACATGTCTGTAATCCCAGAATTCCAGAGGCTGAGACAGGAGGATTGAGGTGAGTTTGAGGCCAGCCTGGGCTACAAAGTGAGTTCAAGGCCAGCTTGAACTATATAACTGCATAGCAAGACCCCATCTCAAAAACAAAACAAAACAAGACAAAACAAAACATATGGGACTACCTCAAATTAAAGTTTCTGCACAGCAAGGAAAACAGCTAACAGAGTAAAGAGATGGCCTCCAGAGTGGGAGAAAATCTTTATCGGCTACTCTTCTATGATAGATGATTAATATCTAGAAGAAATGGAGGAAGGGAAGGGAGCAGAGGGGAGGATGTAAAAAGAATTAAGGTGAGTTATGTACATGTACCAACTCCCCATGATGAATGTGATCACTACAAACTGCAAACATATACTAATAAAAATAAAATTAAAAAAATCTAAAATGTATTAAGAACTCAAAAAATAGCAAAAAAACCCCAAGCAAACAAACAAAAAAAACCAAATAGCCAGTCAGTACCTGGGCAAATTAACTGAATAAACATTTTTCAAAAGAAGAAGTACAAATGGTCAATTGGTGTATGAAAAAATGCTGAACATCTTTAGTCAGTAGGAAAATGCAATCAAAACTACACTGAGATTCCATCGCACCCCAGTCAAAAGGGCTATCACCAAAAGTACAAAAAACAATAAATTCTGGTAAGGATGTGGAGAAAAAGGAACCCTTCTACACTGCTAGTAGAAATATGTATCTGTATAATTCCTATGGAAATTAATATGGAGGTTCCTCAAAAAACAAAAAATGGAGCCACTATATGATCCAACTTTGCTGCTCCTGGGTATTTATCTGAAGGAAATGAAGTCAGCACACGATAGGGATAAATACATACCACATTTATTGCAGCACAATTCACAACAGCCAAGATATGGGAGCAGCCTAAGTATTCATCAAAAGATGAATGGATAAAGAAAATGTAGTATACACAATGGAGTATTATTCAACTGTAAAGAATGAAATTATGTCATTTGTAGAAAAAACAGATAGATCTGGAGGACATGATTAAATAAAAAAGTGAGACTCAGAAGAGACAAATATCACATGTTCTCCTTAATTTGTGGAGTCTAAAGAAAGATGACATGAAAGTAGAAGGGAGGTTATTATTAGACAAGAGGAAGGAATACAGGAAAGGGGAAGAGGAGTATAAAAAAGGGCAATGGAGAGGATATGATCAAAACAAATGCACTGAAACCTAATATTCTGTAAAATTAATAGGCATTAATAAAAATGTGTATTGTTTGAAAAAAAAAAAGTCCTTAGGGCTCACTATTCTGCACTTACTGCCTGTGTGGCTATCAGAGACAGTGACACTTTAGCACATTTTTCTCTTGGGTACTGTGTACTCCTATACATACATATATATAGATATATAGATATCTGTATCTATATATCTATATGAACTTGGCAGTCTTTTAATTTAGATTTTATGTAAATCAATTCTATTCAAAACTGAGAGCAAAAGATGTAAACTGCTGACCCGGATGCAAAATACACAAAAGAAAACAAAATCCCAAGTGCACCCAGCATCCTGAGCCACCACCTGGGGCCAGAGTGGAGCCTGAGTGATGTCTGGAAAATCCCTTCTTCCTGACAGAGATCAGGTTCCGTCAGGTCCTTGAGCAGGGCAAAGCCCTGGGGAGCTCTGGTCCTTAGTGCTGAAAATAAGGTTCCTTCCAGGCCCTCATCCTTCTTCCCCATGTCTTACCATCCCCTGCTTCCCCCACTGGTGTCTTCTGACCAACGCCATTTTCCAAGCCTTCTAAGATGCCCATTTCATGGTAAAGGAACTCCTCATGGCCTGACCTCCCCCAAAGGAACATGGCTTTCATTCTTAAAGAGTGGGACATCATTCTCCCCTGAGCTCAACAGTAGTCCCCCTGAACAAGACTACCACAGAGTACGTGTCACTTAACAGAAGTGCTTGTCATCTTCTTTCTCATCTGCTTCAATTTGTATCCATGGGTCTATAGATTTAATAGATTTAACTCAATCCTACTTATCTCACCAGTGTAGCCTCAGCTCTTGCTATTCTGTTTGCCCACATCCTCTGTTAAAAATCAAGCCAGATCAATTTACTTGGAGTTCCTCAAACACATCAAGCTGTCTGCTGCCTCAGTTCCTCATGAACTCCCTCTAGCCTTTGTTAGGAGAACTTCAGAATCATCTCTTATGAGGAAGAAACTGACTGAAAGCTGAGAAGACACAGATGATGTCATTTTGAAACCTGTGTCTCAAACCCCATACCCTGGGCTCTTCCTTACTAAGGTGTCACATCTGCCAAAGTGTGGCTTAGCACAGCATTGGGTCCACCAAGGTTTCTCTAGAGAATAGTATTCATATCACTTCATCCTAGAAGAAACTGTATGTCATTAAATCCAATGCTCATTATGATAAACCCAAAGACACAGTGGCTCATGGTGGCCCGAGAGTTAGTGGCACAACTGTCTGAGAGTTTCCTCTGTGAGACTTTAAGAGTTGACATTTCATCTCCAAGATGAATACAATAAGCACACAGATAACTACAATATGAGGTATTATATGGGAAATACAAAGTTTAAATTGGAAAGGCCAGGGATTTAGCTCAGTGGTTCTGCCCTCTGCCTTGCAAGCAAAAGGTCCCAAGTTTGATCCCCGGTACCAAAAAATCAAAAAACCAAAAAGTTCAAAGCGGAAAGAAGGTGAGAAGTCACAGCTTTAGGCTGGGATGGGGTATGAGCAGGAGGGTAATCAGGGTTGTGTAAAACAACTCTCAACCTTTTTGGTCTCAGGACTCCTTTATACTCTTAAGTGATCACGTATTCCAAAGAACTTTTTTGGGTAGCTGTAAGTAATGATATTAGAAATCAAAAAAGAACACTGAAAATATATATTGATACCATGTAAACTTAAAAATAACAAACCATTATACATTATCAAATTTTTATAAAAATATAAACTATATATTCCAAAACAAATATGAGAAGAGTGGAATTTGTTTTGCATTTCTGCCAATCACTAATCTTTGGTTTAATAGAAAACAGCTAGTTTGTCATGTTTATTGTTGCACTCACTCTCTTGAGATAGGTTGTTTTAGTGGAGGTCTTGGAAGAACCCTGGGCCTCATGCAGACATGTAGTTGGAAAAAGAGAGAATATTTTAATAGTCTTTTCAGATAATCATGGCTATTCTGCAATACATACAGAAAGCTGACAAGTGCGAGTTTCTTAAAAGTTAGCTATAGTGTAGAAGATAAAATCATACCAAATAAACTGAGTACTCTGTTGTGCCGAAGCTCACTGGTCTCTTTTACATTTAAGTGCATACTTCTGTTATAACATGCATTGGTCACTTGGCAATCACTGAATTAAAGAGACCTTCCAAATATTGTCGCATTTCATTACACAGTATCAAAAATCACTTGTTATCACCACTAGTCTCATCAGGTAAGAATGTAAGTATTGGGAAGCTGTCATGCTCACTGTAGCAGGTATAAGTTTTCCAAAATTCTGCTTTTCGCTCAGAATATTATTTCTTTTCCTGGAGGTGGATCACTTCATGAATTTTTAAAATTTCAATAATGTGTCTGTCAATTGTTCTTTCAAGCAAAAATGGGTTCTATGAGAAAAGCAGTTTGCTCAGGTCACAATTCAACTGTAGAGTGTTTTATGTACACTTCGCCTGTAGTCACATGGAACATAAAAAGATTTTTTGTTTTTGAAGGCTGAGATTATATAGTAAGGTTAATAATTTTTACTGCCTTTGTCAAGAACATTTTTGAGTGAAACTGGCTTAAAAAAAAAAAATGCAAGTGCATTGGTGCCACTGCTTCCAAAGGTGCTAAGTAAAGTGCCAGCAATTTGAGCCCGTGCGTTCAACTTCAGCATATCTGCCTCACAGTGAAAAGGTAATCAATGTCTGGGTGCTGCAAAAATACATGTGGCCTTGTGGTCCCCTCGAAGACTTTGCGGAACTCTTTTGAGAGGGGACCTGGCTTTGAGGACCAGTGGGAGATAATGGGTTGGGAAAGGGAGTCCTACTCTGACACAGTGAGATGAGGGAAGCGGTAACAAGTAAGGCACAGCCGAGGGGCAGCAGCAGGTGGTATGGCTGGAGGAGGAGGAAGGCAGAGGCAGATGAAGCTGAAAAGACACTGTGAAAGGCCTGGAATGCTTAGGTCCCACTTGGTTACATCAGAAGGGAAGAGGGGGTAGGTAGAGCGAGTGGTTCTTTGAGCTTTTACTTATGCAAAATTAAGGTGGCCATGTTTATATTCACTAGATACAAAACAAAAATAGTGTTGCTGCTTTGCTCATGGGGAATGAAAATGTGGTCAAGTGATCTGTTTTAAGAAACATGCTGCACTAATACTTCAGACAGTATTTATTTTGGAAGGAAAAAGAATGAGAACGCATGATGAGCATGGACTCTGAACCAAACACCATGCTCATCACTGTTCACATTCTCTGATTTACTCCTCACAACCGTTGGTATCACCATGAATTCAAGGCCAGCCTGAGCTACATAGTGAGCTCAAGACCAGCCTGAACTACATAGTGAGACTGTCTCAAAAAACCAAAACAAACAAACAATATTATTCTAATTTTAGATTAAAAATAGTACAATACAGAAAACCTTATAAATTGCCAATAAAACTCAAATATGCATTTCTGACATTAGAGAATTATTATAATTACCATGTTATGGAATGTCAAACATGAGTTATGTGTCCAGGTTTCAGGACAGAAACAACAGAACAAGATAATTTTATTCCTTTACAAGCAAAATTCGTTAAAATATCTTCAAATTAATGATTTAGAAAATATGCTCACTGATATTAAAGAAATGATCATCATTATGATAAACATGGCAAATTCCATGAGGTCCTAAATATATGGATCTTGTTGGTCTGCCATTTTTTGGAAGAAATTATTTCAATCCAAATCCTCAATATTTCTGACACAGCTGCACAGAGATATAATTATAGGAATTAAATTCTTTTATTGACAGATAAAATCTGCAATCATTATCTTTAATACAAAAATGTGAGCATCAGCCACTGTAAAAGTTGTTCTGTTGCAGTGCCAGACTTAACCAGTGTGCTTTACAATGTATCATGGTTATGCAAACACTTTTTTCCCTGACACTGTGGATTGTACCCAAGGCCTCTGCACGGAGCCACAAAATTTTAATGCAAGTCTCACTGAGTTGCCTGGGCTGGACTCAAACTTGGAATCCTCCTGTTTCAGCCTCCCAGAGTGCTGGGATTACAGGTGGCCCAGCACTAAGAAAGGTTTTTAATAATCAGATACTCCTTGATTTAGTAGGGTACTGGAATGGAACTGGCGTAAGACCAAGCAGATCCTAACTTTGCTAAAAATTACTCCTTTTCTGTGCATCCTGTGTCACACACTTGAACCAAATTGTAGACTTGTGTGTTAAGAGTTTTGGGAGACTGGAAAGTCCCCCAGTCTCTTGATGGGGCTGGAAGCTGGGCGCTATGAAGTAACTGATTTCCTTCCCTAAGTCTCAGCCATGTCAAGAAGAATCCCAATAGGGTAACTGCTGGTTATGTTACACTTTCTCTTTTCATGAATTCATTTAATAAATAATGTATCAACCTGATCCTACCAGAAGTCTCAGGCTGCCTGAAAAATGATCTTACTTGCTTTCACTTTGATGGCATTTTAAACATTAAAGGCTAAAGAGTACTTGGAAAATCCAACAAGTTGCAGTAGGATTTTGTGATTTTAGGTATGTCAAAGAAACTTTTTATACATAAAAGATATGTGTTCAGATAGAAAATTAAATAGCTTCTGATATCTAGACCAACAAAAGGTGAAATGAGATAAAACTGTTTATACTTATTATTGTGTGTAACACTGCTGTGAGCTGTGAGGCAGGATGAGATAGAAGGCAGTGTTTGGGAATGTGCCGTACTCCTGACAACCCTTCAGCCAGCCACGATCATCTGGCTTTTGCCCTGTCTGAAATTAGGATCCCTGGGAACCACAGCCCTGGCAGGAGGAGGTGCTATAAACTCTCCTGCAATGACCTCCCTGCCTTGGCCAGCTTCATCCCCTTACCTGTTACACACGAGGAAGTTCACACCAACTGCACTAGGAATGGATGATAGGCTATCTATTTGTACCAAACTCCATAATTAAATGTCCATTTAACAGGAGATAGGCTAGCAAAGAATTTGGGTATTTGTTACCTTACCAAGTGAAACATCCATATATCAAAAAGGAATGACTCCAAAGTGTTAAGAGTACACTGTCTTCCTCAGTCCATCCGGTCTTCAAAAATTTGTGTAGTTGAGTGAAAATCACTGCCTTTTTTCAAAGGGCACGATGTTGCTATGTACTTCTACATAAACAGGATAGCTGGAGACTGGGTTCATGGATGCCTTTGTGCAAATGTGAAAAGTGCATTCCTAATGTTTACCACAAACCCAACGAAGCCGATGATCTGTCTGCAGGTCCATCAGTTCTTCCACGGTTCTCCAGCTACACTGGCAGGCATACGCCCGTGTTCCTTTCTTCTCTACCAACTTGATCTTTAATCTGTGGAATTCTGGCATGTTGTTTCTGAGAAAAATAGGAAAGTTTTAGAACAGTGGTTTTGCTCAGTACTTAATGATGCCAAAAAAGGTTCTAATTGTTTGATTTTCTTATTTTTACAGTATCTGAACATCAAATGACCTTGGTCCCTCCACACTAACAGGAGAATACATGTTTTGGTGTTTTTTTCTGACATCAGTGCTTTTTAATGGCACTCAGCTAGGACTGTGTATTAAGGCTGCAGAGGAACATGATCATCCAAAGGGCTGAAGAATTACTGATTTGTCCTAGCAGAGATGACACGAATGAGAGCAGAGTGGGATGGTGTTACCTCCTACCTTGCACACTCACCTATGCCAGTTACCTACCCTATGGCAAGTGCAGGGAGCATGAGAGGCATAAAGGCACAGGCTTCAGATGGGTTAACTACAGAAAACTCACTCACAGAAAGAAAGTGCCTGGTATATCTGTACACTGAACTCATCTGTTTCAATGATTTCCTTATTTACTGGTATTATCAGCAACAAAATAAATGCCTATCCTGAAATGAATGTAATAATGTTGCTAGGGAGGAGGGGAAGGGGATGAAGAATTAAGATGTGTTCTCAACATGTGCCCGCCTCCCACAGGAATGTGATCATTATGTACTGCAAACATGTACTGAGAGAAAAGTAAAATTTGAAAAAAGTCAATAAGATTAAATAACTAAATTAAATATCAAGACCATCATAAAAATGATAGTAATTATTGAACTGGATGCCATTATAAGAAATATGTTACTATACATTTAGTTAAGGAAATCAATTATAATTTTTATAATTCATATACTGAGCTTATGTATACATTAAATGACATAGAAAAACAGACATAATTAAAAATGAAACAATTAAAAATATAAAGTGAAATGGTGAAAGATAGTATAAATAATGACGATATGGTGTTTTAGTCCTTGTAGAGATCACTGTAACAGAAGGTAGGCTCCCAAGTGCCCTCTAGTGGCCACCGGGCACCGCGTTCAGGACTATTCTGTACAAAATTCAGGCAGTTTACGATAGAGCCTAACAAAACCTTAGAGAACTCCTATGCCAAATGTCTGGGTTTAGGAAAATAAGACCCTGACCAACAAAATGACTTACTCTAAGGCTATGGTGAACTAGAGGAAGAAGTGAATAATCTGTTTTATCAGAAAAAAGAAAAATGCCAAAACTAAGTTGGTTAAATGAAGAAATGTCCTTTATTCAATCTACCATATATTTTGACAAACAATATTTGATGCATGACTGAATTCTTAATTAGAGACTTTAGGAAGAGGAATCATGAGTATCCAGGGAACTTTTTAACACATCTCAAATGCTTTTAAAGCTTAGACATTACTTCATTATTTTTCCTTAAAATACTTGACTTAATAGAAAAATAAAAGTGTCTTATTTAGCTATAATGGAGGTGGTCAACAATTATAGTTTATGTTTCTGTTCCAGAAAGTTTTAGAACTTGGCAAGGCCGGGATACACTAACTTCCTCCCTCTGTGAAGCACGAACAACAACTGCACAGCATTTCATGGTGTAACAGACGTGCAGACGGACAGCACTAAAGCTTGCTGTGTTCTATGGGACATTCAGTGAGTGGCACTCTGGAGACCTTTCAACTCGTCCTTCTGGTCACTGCCACTTCTGGTTTCCCTCGGTGATTAGTCCCCTTCTGCCTCATATTTCACCTTTCCTCCACTACCTTACCTGGAGTAGATCACATCCTTATTCTTAAAACCAAGCCAACAGATATGAAAAGCCTTCCATTTCCTAGTAAGCTCTCTCCCGTGCACAGGAGGTGGTCCTCTTCCTATCCAGGGCTCATTTTCCATCAGCATGCCAGACCCCCTCCTCACCCATCCCTGGCCACGTCCACACTCCCACTCAGAATATAAACCTTCGAGTGTCTCAACAAAATGATCCCAGCTTCCGCTGACAGTCTTCCAAATTGCATTTCCAGGTAATCCATTCATCTTTACATATTACATTTTCCTCCTCTGAGCTTCAGAAACAGTTTCAACAGCTCCCATAAATGAATGCAGGTTCTTCCCTTAAATTTGTTCTTACATTTCCTCAGTGGACTGTATCATAGTCCATCTACATAAACCGGACAGAAGCCTAGGGTTCATCCTAGATGATGTTTGGCTTTCACATTCCACAGGCAGGACTGCTTCTAAAATACATCTTTTCCTCTCTGTCCTTACTGCCATGCTTCAGATGCCTATTTCTTTCTCCCTGTACCACAACATCCTCTCATCAATACCCGTGATTCTGGACTAGCCTGGTTCCCATGTGGTACTCAGTTATCTTTTAATAATTCAAATCTATTCAGATCTCCCTCCTGATTAATAACCTCAATGGTGACTCACTGCCTGAAGAATTAAACCCAAACTCCCCAGCACAGCTTCCCTGGGTCTTTCTGATCTCTCTCAATGACTTTACCTCTTGCCCTTGTATCCAACGCTGTACAGTTTCAACTACTCGTTAGCTCCCCAAACATGTCATGTGGTCTCACTTCTCTGTGTCTTTATTATTTTTTATTTTTCATTAGTATGTTTGCAGTATGTGATGATCACATTCTTTGTGGGGAGTTGGCACATGAACACAACACACTTTAATTCTTTGTACATTACCTTGCTCTCCCCTCCCTCCTCTTTCATTCCCTCTATCTCTTGGTCCCCTTCCCGTCTGAGAAAGATCTGTCTCTCCACTTCCTGTTATCTACCTTTTATTTTGCTCTTTATTTATATTTTGGGTTTCTCATTTAAGTGAAACCACAAACCACACAATATTTAAGCTTGTGTGTCTGATATATTTCACTTAACATTATGGGCTCAAGGTACATCCATTTTCCCACAAATGATTCAAGTTTATCTTTTTTATGGCAGAGAAGTACTCCACTATGTGTAAATATCACATTGTCTTTATCTGTTGCTGGACATATAGGCTGGTTCCAAGATTTAGCTATTATGAACTGTGTTGCTAAAAGAATAGCACACCACATTCTAGGCAAATCCTATTTGACAGGAACACTCTTCAAGACTCTGAGAAGCATCCCCTCATGCTGCAGAGTGAAGGGCATCCACTCTGCGCTGTGATATCCTTTCTTTTAACCTAGCTCTACTGTCATATTGATGGCATGATGTTATCTCGTATCTCTTTCCCAGAACTATGGTTACTTAAAAGAAGGAACTCAGTCTTCTTCATTTTATGAATCCAGTACCTAAAAAAGCCACAACTAGGTTCTAAGTAATGTCTGGTGGATAAGGAAACACCACTAAGATCTACAAAATGAGCATAATACCAACAATTTACATCCTGATTGGGAAGACAGCCTAATTTTCTAGTTGTTCCTTTCTCTTATGTCCCAAACATATTCCAAGCATCTCCAGGGCTGAGATGGCATTTTCTACTGATTTAAATAATAACCACTTCTTTATCGTACTAATTAATAAATCTTCTAGTAGTCACTGTTTCATCTAAAGACATAAATATGTTTTCAGCCAGGCTGCCACAGACCTGGAGTAAAACAACAGGTGTTTTTTTTTTTTTTTTCAATGCAGTGCTAGAGACTGAATCCACAGCTTCATGAATGCTAGGCAAGCACTCTTCCACTGAGCTACACTCCAACCCCTAAATGGTGTTCTTGATGCCTATGACATTTATGAGGATCAACTAAGTCACCTATAAGCTGACTTTATGCCTGTATGCAAATCTTATTACCCTATGTTAGCTTTATAAAAATGTAAGGCTCCTCCCAAAATAAAATGTAAATGTCGGGGATTTAGCTCAGTGGTTCCGTTGCCTGACTCGCAAGCAGAAGGTCCTGAGTCTGATCCCCGGTACCAAAAGAAAAAAATGTAAGGTCCATCATGTGACATGAAGAGTACTAACCACTAACTAGATCAGCCAGAAGACAGAAAAAGCAGAATGAAATTGAAATTAAAAGCTAACCTTTCCAACTACTGAAATAAAAAGCAGGCTAAATAAGAGTAGGGGTTTAGGACCAGGATTTGGGGACTGTAATAAGCTTTATTTGGGATGGAAATTGTCAAACCCTGGAACTGTAGTTTTTCCATATATTTGTCTTCTTGAATATGTGTATGTGTGAATGAAAAGGATTCAGAGCTTTTGTAAGATTCTGAGTGGTTCTTGAGTTAAAAAAAAAAATCAAGAGAGATTCCAATAGGGTTACCTGAAATGACCATTTCACATTTTTCCTTCTTTTTGGTAGTGCTGGCGATCAAACCAAGGCCTCATATGCATGCTAAACACTAGTGTGTTCTACCTGAGCTACCCTCCAGCTGCCTCTTCTTTTCCTTTATTGAAAAGTACTGTAATATACTGGGATTACTTGTATCTCAAAACAATCTTTGTTTAGGCTTAGGTCTGGCAGACCAAAACACATGCTATAATGTATTTTATTAACGTTTAACTCTTAATAACAGAAATGTGAATGTATGGTACAAATACATTTTCACAACTTTGTAACACCTTAACAATGTTGTTCTGTAAGTGTATAAGAATGTACAAATTATAAAAACGAGTAAGCCACTATCCTGACCACAAGGAGGAACTGTAAAACAACCTAAGATCTTCAATTTTATATGACCTAAGTGCTATAAAGGTATGAAATGCTGAGGACACACAGGAAAGAAACAGTGCACTTCTAAGTTGAGAGAGTGGTGAGGGAACCATGGAAGATGCTTGATGAATTGTACCCTGAGGGACAGAGAAGGTTCAGGTAGGTGCAACAGTGGGGAGGTGTCCCAGCCAGCGGGGAGCTTGCACAGTCAGAGGGAATACTGGCACTGAGGACTGTAATGTAGCTAAGATCTTATGAGGGTGAAAGCATATTACAGGGGTGAAAAGCTGGACAGAGGCTGGATCCTGGTTGGTCTTGAATAGCATGCTATGGAATCTAGACTCTTCTGTGAGCAGGATAATGGGCAGGGGAAAAGCATACTCAGAGCTATGCTTTAATTCTGAGCAAGGAAAGAAAAGATTTTTAGGTACAAAAATCAGTGAAAAGGCTATTTGTATACTCAACAGACAGAGAAGAAGAAAGGAAAAGATGGATGAGAGAAATATTGAAGAGGCAGAGGTTACACAATCTGGCCAAGTCCACTAAGAGACAACACAGCAAAATAAAAAATGTAGTCCTTGGTACATTTTTCATGGAGTGATGTTCTTTAGAAACATACCTGAAAAACAAGTAATCACATGATTTGTCCCACAGATAGTCACTGTAGCTCACTACCCTGAAATCACAGGCTATACAACGTAGATGGTCACATGCTCTGTTCAGAGAAAAACAAATGTATATTAAAGATCATTGGTGTGCTTAAATATGAAAATATGGTGATTTACTCATAGAATATACCACATTTTATAGATTACTGAATAACAGAAAAGTACAGATTCATCTGATTATAGATGTTAAGGACGGTTTATATATCTAAACTTTCAGGTTAATTATTTTGTACACACCTAATATCTTGCATAGTGACACATGCATGCATATGTGTACATTACAGAGACATAAAATGGGGTTGTAGGTCTTTTAGTTAGATGATTTTCAAATTGTGTGTGAGGGAGGTCCTCACTGAAGCTAATTTTCTTCAAGTGTTGCCCTTCTTACTGAACTTTCTGTAGATTCCTCTGTCAAAGAATGTACTGAAATCAATGTCTCTTCCATAAACTACTTCACTGCTGAGATGGCATCTTACTTGTTTCCGTTTCCCCACTACTTGACATATACACATTCAATTCCTCACTTAAAAATTTTACTGGCACACTACTATGTGCTAGAGAGGTCCTTGTCTTCACGGAGCTTAGATTCTAGTGAGAGATGAACTAAAAAGCAACACTAATAGTAACTAAATTATATAGTATGTTAGAAGGTGAAAAATGCTATTAATGAAATACAGTGGTACCTTGGTTCATGAACTTCTTTCCACCATTTTGGCTGCAAATCAAAATGGATGAGAACTGAATCAAATTCAATGGTTAGGTTCAATGTTGATCTTATGTGGAAATTTGATTCTGGTTTGTGACCAGAATTGTGGAAAGAGTTAAGTCCAGGAACCAAGGTCCCACTGTAGTAAGTAGAGTAAGATAAAAACAAAACAAAACAAACAAACAAAAAAACTAGGAGGACCAGGAAGGGATGGGTCACAATTTTAAATTGTAGGGTGTTTACACAGGCTTCACTGAGAAGGCATATCTGAGTAATTTCATTAAAAACTACTCAGGGGTTAAGAGGAGGTCATGCTTAAGAAGGGAGAAAAGCCCAAGCTTGTGTGCTGATGACAAAGATGTAGGAAGAGCAAAATTCTGATGATGTCAGAGAGAGAGGCAGAGGTAGCCAGAATGATACTTGGCTTGTAACAGGCAATCAACAGCTGAGAAATAGAAGGGACAAATAATTCTCAAAGCATAATGATGCATGTATCAATAAGAACCTTAGGAGTAAAATGACAGAACACAGCAAATTAAAAAAGAATTATGGATCACTGCTGCAAATAATCTGATTTGTGTAACAATTATGATTTACTTTAAAGAAACATCCTCAATTGTTTTAAGTATTTAAAACCAGAATCAACAGAGATTTTCAATCATCTAAAAATTAAAAGGAAGTAATGAGTTTCTCAGATATCCTCCCCCACAAAAAGAGAGAAAAGATCAGTAATAGAGTGGAAAACATTTTCAACACATGGTCAAACATTTATAGTATGTAAAAAAGTGCTTACAAATGACAACAGAGAAAAAAAAATAAAAACGTAACCACACTAGTATAGGTAGTAAAATAATAGTAAAGAGCATGGATTCTGGGTACATAGCACCTGGATTCAAATGCTGATTCTAATATTTATTAGGTATGTAACTGTAAGTTACATTTTTATGACTTGGTTCTTCTGTCTGTAAAATGGGATAAATAAAAGAGTACATACCTCATAGAATTATTATGAGGATCTAACGAATTAATACTGCCAAAGTGCCTGGCAGAATGTCTGTTAAGGAGTTATATAAAGAATTAAAATTTAAAGCAATCATGAAATTTTCTTAATCAATTAAGTTAAAATTAGTACTTTCATATGTTAATATAATATTTTGAGAAAAACTTGCATCATTATTATTATTTGAGCTACAGGGGATTTAACTCATCAGTGTTCTATCCCTGAGGTATACTCCCACTGTTTTTTATTTTATTTTGAGACAAGGTCTTGCTAGGTTGCCCAGGCTGGCCTTGAATTTGTGATCCTCCTGCCTCAGTCTCCTAGTGGCTGGGATTAAAGACACGCACCACCTGGTAGCATTACAGTATTTTTGAAATTAAAGTTATACCTAGTACACTTGGACTAGCAATCCTGTTTTGGGAAATACTACATATTACTAAAAGCACCAATATATAAGAATATATTTATAAGAATTTTTTATTACAATATTGTTAAAGTGACCAAAAAAAAAAAAGATACTTCTTGAATATCTGTCAAAAAGGGGAAAGACTGAATAAGATGCAGTATATTTATGCTGTGGAATAGTAGTAGGCAGTTGATGAAGAAAGTTAGATTTACCTTCTGATCTGGAGGGATAGCCAAAGCAAGGTACATAGTAAAATACAGTATACCCCCATGAAATCACAGTTGAGAGTTCTCAGCCTCAGTTGTTCAGGATTTTTCCTTAGAACCTAACTGTTCATGGAAAATCCTGCAGTTTCTTGGAAACCACAAATATCCTCTGCAATTGTTTTTTGGTGGGAGATTTCCAAGTAGCCAATCCGAGAGTGTTATTCAGTTCTCCTTGCTGCTGATTGGGTGCTGTCCTATAACCCACCTCCACAGATGCACCAGCATTCCAACACTGTAGCAGGTATCTTGCGTGTAGTTATCTCCACTGTTCTCAGTTTTGTTCTTCTTAAAGCCCCAAGATCACTAACATATCACCAAAACACCCTGTACTTCTCAGGCTTCTGGCAATGAATCTCAGCACCAGAAGAAGTTTAAGACATTCCAGGAGAAATCTGAACTACTGGACTTGTTCTGGGAACTAAAAAGCTGTGCCACAGTAGCATAATAGGCATTTATAGGTTTTTCTCTGACCATATCAGAAATCTGCAGTTTTTCACAATTCACAGGTGCTCAACCTCTGTGAATTTCGGGGGTCTACTGTACACTACAGTTTGACCCTATTCTTGTAAAAACAATAAAAAACCTCTCTTGTATAGGTGGTTGTAAGTTATAAAGAAGATGGAGCAAAATGTAGAAGGTTATATAGTATGTAGCTAACACTGGTATAGCTTAGGAGTGGTGGAAATGAAGAAGGGGGAGAGAAATCATTACGTTTTTCTTTATATACTTTTCAATAGGCATATAATACTTCTGCAACAAAAAATAATAAAATAATAACAAGCCTGCTGTTAAAGAGTTTTTTCACTTATTTCCCTCCAAAATTCAGATGTTAACTTCAAAACTGAAAAATATTTTTTGCCTGAAAGTTTTTGAGAATGCATCCTTCATATTTCTAAAAATATTCATCATTATAATGACTAAACATTTAAAGTCTAGATGAGTTTCATAAGCAATTCTGAATTTTCTTTGAAATTGTTAGCAATTTAGGAAGTCATATTTGTACATACGGAGATTGAACCTAATGACAATGGTACACATTTGAACTCAGATTTTGAATGTACAAGTCAGGAAATGCAGAATGCTAGTTCCCAAAGCTACCATAACTTGCTTTCTTATGCATATGTAGTTTATTACACTATTGCATAAAGTGTTAACTTTAATTCCTTAATACACGTGTGCAATTCGGCTGAAATATTGCTGTTGTGGGAACTATAACTTAGAATTTCCTGACATTTTTTATGTGAAAAATCTCAACCACAATGTTAAGTACATTTTAATTTAATTTAAAATTTAGTAGTTTATTCAAATCTATTCACACTATGTTTTCCTACACTGTCCTATGAGAAAAATAAAACTGCAGCTAAGAAATCATTCCACTGCTACAATTCACTCTATTAGATCATAATTAGTACAAGTCTGTGGAATAATTCAGTCTTGCAAGTAGTTTAAGAAATAAGAGTAAAATTTAATTGGGTTGAAAATAATGTCTTGGTTTTATCTACACCACTTATTGATGCTACCACACTTCCAACTACTATTCTTTCTCCTTTTCACAAACCAGAAAATCTTTCTCCTTTCACACACTGGAAAAAGACTCAAATCTTTACACTGAAAAACATTCATCATTACTTACAAACCAGAGCTTTGTCCAGTAATCAAATAAATAAAACCAATAGGCAGAATAGACTCAATTTATGCCCTCAGCATGTGAAAAACTGTTCATTTTCAGAGCTTGCTTGGATGAGACTATATTTTATAAATTTATCCTAAGTTAAAAATGAATTTAACAAACATCACAGCTTAGCAGTACTCTTGTGACCTGGTGGCTGCATTATAAAATGGAGTTAAAAATTCTTGCTCCATGTGTACCCTGGGTCCTCCCATCCACCCCGAGGTGCAGGCAAACCAACAAGCATACATAAAAGTGCTCTGGATAATATAAAAAATTTACACATAAATTGTTTTATTTGCACTCAAATACATGTGTTTATCATTATATGTGCAAATTCTGTGTCCTGAAAGGGGCAGCTGATAGCTATCTCTGCTGGGTGAGGAAGGTCTGAATACACACATTCACCGGTGCAGATATACACAGATGGTATTTCCTATTGTAGTGTGTAGAAGGTAGGAATGGGGTTTGATAGATTCCGGCATCTTCATGCATCAATGCTATGTGATAGGACCCTTAGGCTATAGAAACAGGCTTTTTTTTTTTTTTTTTTTGGTGTTTTGAGACAGGGCCTTGCTATGTAGCCTAGGCTGGCCTCAAACTCACAGTGATCCTTCTGCCTTAGCCTCCAGTGTGCTGGGATTATAGGTGTGTTATTTTGTCTACTGAAATTCCATCTAAGATAATACTCCTCTATGGTAAAACTAAAAGTACACAAACAAAATATATTATATATAAGAAAATCTTTGGAAGTAAACCAGAATATACTTTTTAAAAGACCATATTTAAAATCAGCAACACCTATAAGTAATCATTGATACATATTTCCTGAGATAAAATGGAAACACCAGAATACAGGATTCTTGTTCTGAGACAGAACACAACAAGAGAGCAGGATGAGTCCACAGGCAAGACATAATAATGATGGCAAGCCAGGGTACCTGACATAGCTATCTTTTGCACCACAGGCATAGCTGTTGTGTACTGTATTATCTCATTTCATCCTCACAGTATCTCCATGAAATATGATCAGTTTTTATGGGTGAGGAAAGTGAAATTTTAGAAGATAATTACTCAAGGGTTGGCAGCTTGTGAGTGGCAGCATGACTAAAAACAAATGAGAAAAGTTCAAATGAATCTACAGTACATGAATTAAGCAGGTAAAACAGCAGGGGACATGGTAGGGGTGTCACTTTAGATAGGGAACAAATGCTAAAATACTCAAGAGGCTGAAAAGTATAAATGAAGGGCAGAAGATGACGAGTTTCCAGTGTAAGTGGAGTATCTGACCCAGGCTATAGTTGTAGATGAAGGAATTAAAGAGAAAAGAGAATGAATAAGGATAATAACTTGGTAAAGATAACAGCAAGTTCAGAAGTAATGTGAGACAATGGCACAGGAGAGAGGAAATACTTTAGGTGTGTTATTTTGAATATTGCATGTGGTGGAAATGGAAGTGGTAACTCTGAAAGTGTAGCTGTAGTTTGTGGGTGACTTGATAGAAACCTGGATTAGAGTTGGCATAGTTCTAGAAATGACTGGGACAAGTCCAACTGAGTTGGTCCAGGTAATTCAGGATTGATAACAACAAGACTACACTGTATTGCTATTTTTTTTTTTTTTAGAGAATCCTCCACACATGATCATTCAACTGCTGATCTATTCTTATCGATACCACTTGCAGCAGTCAGCACCCTAGTGGATTAGCCTGTTTGCTGCCTGGTGTTCCTGAGTAAGGCGTCCCAAACTCCCGATTTCACTTTGGTCCCATTGACTTTCCTTCTAGGCTTCCTAGGTTCTAAGCACCAGCACAATCCTCCACTAATGTCTTTTCAGATCCCACTTCCATTATTCATTGTAACAATCTTCCAGAAATATGGTATTTGCAATCATATAACCCAGTATTTTCTTCCTTAAAAAACCAACAGGAAATAAAAGTGTTTTAGAAATAAATGGAAAAAATAATCTTGGCAAATAGAGCTCTGCTAAAAAACAGAACCCAAAGTAGCAGGCCAGTAGAAAACTTTGTTCTAAGCCAGTTTTCCCCCTCTGCCTGGAAAGAGTGAAAGAGCAGGTTAGGGCGGGGGCGGAGAGAAGACAAAGAATGGTGGCATTCTGCTTTTGAAATGTGCAAAATCGAGTGACTATGCTTAAGGACTTTTTGGGTGATGCAGACCCATAGCTTCTCATGCTGCTTGGCCGTCAGTGGCTCAGGTATCATGCAAGCTGCACAGCCCCACTGCTTCATCTGCTTTACCACTCACTGGCTTCCACTGCCTGGAAGTTCATTCTCCCGCTGCCCTATCAACACCAAACTGGGACTTCAAGCGGGACTCAGAAAAGGGCATCAACACACAAACAACATATCCCTCACATCACAGCTTTCAATAGCTGTCTCCCAAGAAGAAACATGTCAACAAAGTGTTTTTCCTTTGGCTAATTATATACATCTGTCATTATACAACAGATTGATGTCAAGATGATAAGAACTGCCTTTTTAGCAACAGGGTATCAAGCTGTAAAAACCTAGTAAGAAAGTATAACGCATTTGTGATATCCCACCTCTGTGAAGTATGTGTTCCAATCCCATATGGAACTGTGCTTCCACCGAGGTACACTGGGCTGCAACTAGACGTGTTCAACAGATGGAGAAAAATGAAATTTCAATAAAAAAGAAATATGAGAAGCTAATTTAGCCACACTGACTCTTATATTCTTGTGATCAAATTGTATATTTTCCCTAGCAAGCCAGCAATTTCAAAGAAGTATTTATTACAGGATCACTGGTTTATTAGATATCACCTGTACATTCAGAAACACTCAAGGAGTTAAAATGAGTCACAGAAAAAAGTGTTTGCCAAATAATGTAAGGGACAAACACTAAAGACTATAACAGAACATAAATTTTGTAGAACTGTTCACACTTTTTAAAAAATATGACAGAAAATTATTTACAACAGCAATAATCTCCCATTTAATTTCCTTTATACTAAGGGGTCACAGACAATAAAAGTATCAAAGGTATTACTATTGGTCTTTCTCCTGAAGGCCAGCCAGTGCTTTGGTCTTCAATGTCACTATTGCTTAAATGGTAACAAAATCTACTAGATTATGCTCATAGTGTTTGTTTGCTCACTAGAGTGAATTCACTAAAGCAATCTCAACTTACCTTTTATGGGAGACTTGAAGAGAAGCTCTGACAGATGTGTCACCTGAAGATTTAGATTTTAATTTCTGCTAAAAAAAAAACACAATATAAGGCCAAGGGTAACTTAGGGAATTACAATATGAAAAGTAATATTCTTTATTTCATAACAAGAATATTTTAAAACTAACAAAACTTTTGGTGGCATTATTTGTTAAGTATCTGAAATGAAAACAATTATTAGAACCCTTTGAAAGCAACATAGATGTAGAATCCTCGAAGGAATTTGAAAATTACTATGCTAAAGTTTACTCCAGGAAATTGATATATGGCCATTATTAGCATGCTAAGATGAGTCACTTTATAATGCTTCAGTTAATACCAGAGTTAAACAATTTAATATGAAGGGCCTGCTATTTAAAACTGCAATCTGGAAAAATTCAACTGGGGAAAAAAAACCTCAGACTCATTTTTAAAGGCTGTGAATGGTACTTATCTGAACTAAAAATAAACTAACCAAACTCTTGTGTAACTTCAAGAATATTAATTTTGATTGAGTGGAATGGTATCAGCCACTAGATGTTCAAGAGAAATGTGGAGCTATTTAGAACCACACAGTAGTGCCTACATGGTTATATAACATCATCATCTCTAGGAAGCATTCATTTGTTATTAAGCATTTATCTGTGTTAACTGGTGTACGGTAGTGAACAACATAAACTAACCACATAATAGGACCACTGCCAAAGAGAGGAAGTGAGATGGAGAAAAGGCAGCTTAAACTATGCAGTGACATGTCTTCACTTTCTCTAGTGGGTGAGGAAGTTTGATGCAGGCAAAAACATTTCATTTTATTATTTCTCAAAGTCTTCTACTTGATGTTAAACAGAACTGGAAAAGTTTTTGATACATATCTAAAGGATAATAGTGTGTATGAGTCTTTTGTCTTGGGGAGCATGTTTCATGAAGCAACCAGGCTCATGATTGCGACTCTAAGCTGGCACACTGTGACATCTGTCCCTTGACTTTCTGGTGTGGGTCTGAGAGGAGGTTAAAAATGTACCAGACTGTGAGAGTAGAGGTGGGGTGAGGAGCAGGACTTTCAGGGCATAAGATGGCCCAGCAGGACAATGTGGGCAGGAACCATTAGTCACAGGCACTTCTTTTAGATTCTTTTTTGTTTTGGTACCGGGGATTGAACTTGGGACCTTGCGCTTGCAAGGCAGGCGCCAGAACCACTGAGCTAAATCCCCGGCCCATAGGCACTTCTTTTACTCACCCAGTGTTTACACAGACCTACTTTGTCTTGAAGGTTGGAAAACTGGATGTAATAACAAAAAGGAAACACACAGGAATGCACATTTATTTCTTCATAACCGTAAGAGCTTTTATTTCAATTTAGTGTGCTTTTTTTTTTTTTTTTTTTGGCAGTGCTAGGTATTAAATTCAGGGCCTTGCACATGCTGGGCAAGTGCTCTACTATATAACTATACCTGTGCCTCCCATGATATATCTTAAATCCAAACAAGATAAATTGTCTGTCTGAAATAACCTGAAGTGAAGATAATGTTTTATATACAGATAGGTATTAAAAAGATAGCCAAAAAAAGAAGAGAAAACTACTCAGAAGATTAGTAACAAAAACATGTCAGTTTCTGGTACTGTTACCATTACTAATCCAGCATTTATGATACATTAATTTGAGGTTTATGGAGTATACTACATGTATTTAACATGGCTCCTCTTGAGCTATTAATCAACTAGGCATTAGCTTGTTAATTTACCTCAGACGAACTGAAAATGTTAAATTTAGAGAAATTTAGATCCTAAAATCTATACCAGCTTTTTGATTTTGTCTGGCTGTCAAAATACAAGTGGCTCCTATCCATAACATTACCACTATTTTCTTTAGTGTTCTCTACCTTCAAAAACAAAAACAAAACTGAGCATGGTGATGTATACCTGTAATCCCAGTACTCAGGAGGCTGAGTGAGGCACATCTCTGTAGTTTAAGGTCAGCATAAGCTACATAGTTCAAGGCCAGCATGAACTATAGATCCAGTCTCAAAAAACTGAACCAAACCAAACCAAACCAAAAAAACTAGAACAAGTTCTTCTGGGTATTATACTTATTTTAAAGATTTTCTTTTTTATGGTCTTTGTAAACTAGACATCTATTTAGTCTCATTCTTCTAAATCTAAAAACTATATTTCACACACACCATGCCAATAAACAACATAATATACAGGAACATCTAAATGACAATCTCTTTGGAAAATAATTTGGCTATGTGTAGTGATAAGGTGAAGATGAACACACCTTATGACTTAAGAATTCCCCTTCTAGGTTTATGCATTCTAGAGAAAGAAACCCTTGCACATGGGTAAAAGATGACATGTAAAATTGTCTGATGAAACATGATTTGTCTAGTTTAACATAGATGGAAAGGATGGCAGTTACTTCTGGGAAAGGAGGCAGCAGAGTAAGATTTGGAGAGACCTTATACTATATCTTTAATTTAAAAAAAACCCATAGAAGCAGATATAGCAGAATATTAAGATATGTTTGGTATGGTGGCAGTTACAAGTTCAGGATATAGGTGGTTGCTTTATTGTTTATAAAATTTTCTTTTCCCAGTACTAGGGATTGAACCCAGGGCCTTTCAACTGCTAGTGAACATCCTCAATCCGTCTAAAAAAAATTCTGAGTTGTTCAGCCAGTCTCAAACTCACAATCCTCCTGCCTGAGCTTCTGGAGTAGCTGGATTATAGGTGTGGGCCACCACAACTGGCTATTTTATGAATTTTTTTTTATAAGTTAAAACAGAGAAACATTTAAAACAAGATAATAACTTAGACATTGGTTCCTAAAATAACTGCAGTGACATCCCAGCTGAGATGCTAAACACATTCCTGTAACAAAAGCTGTTTTTGGTCTTTTAGAAAGGTCTTTTTAGAGACTACAAATAAATACAAGTGACCAACTTAATCTGTGAATTGACTTTTACATTAACATCTTTTCCAATTTTTTATTCTTGATGAGAAATAAACACGGAAACACACCTTGAATTGAATATTTTACTTCCTCTACAATTCATTAAGCATAATAATTTAAGTAACTATATTTCTCAGAATTCAAAGGACTACAGATAGCTACTGTGCCTTCTTTAAATTTTAAGACTGCTCTCAATGTCTTGAGATGATGAAAAGTATTATTGCACATTTGTAACACTTCACTTACAAAAGGTTTTTTGTCAAAGTTGGGCTCTTCAAATATTTCATTAATAAGACTATCAAGATCATCTTCTTTTTCAAATGTTTCTGTTGATCTGAAAAGAAAAAACACACACAAAAACCTTGCCTGAAGCTTGAGCAAAAAGTGTCAGAAAAGTTTTGTTGAAAGTCTACCACTAGTATTGATAACAGAAAGATAAACATGATGCTTAAGTAACTGTTTTTCCTAAGGCAATTCATCAGTACAAATTCACACATATACTTTACTAATACATACTTTAAAATAAGACATAAACTCATATATTATGTTTGAGAGAAAATTGAAATTGTTCATTTCTAAGTTACATCGAACACTTATTCAGATAATACAAAATATGTAGAATTATAAATAGGACCTAATATAAACAAAGTGTTCCACTGTAAGTCAAATAACCATATCTCTTTATTAGAGGAGCCAAACAAAGGTCATATAATAAAATGACTGGAAAAAAAAGTGTCATATGTTCAAATATTTCAACTAACTATGTTCCACAGGCAGACACATCATTGGGTTAATACAAACGGTTCCCACACAGAATTTCTATCTAACAGCAAACACTGGCTGGGCGTGATGGTGCATGCCTGTAATCCCAGCACTTGGGAGGCTGAGTCAGGAGGATCACTTCGAGTTTGAGGCCAGCCAAGGCTACACAGTGAGCTCAAGGCCAGTCTGAACTACAAAGCAAGACTCTGTTTCAAAAAGCAACGCCCCCCCCAACAAAACCCAACCAAATAAAACCCAACCCCCCAAAAAAACCCCCCAAAACCAACACTCCCCAAACCACTAAGTATTTACTGGCTGCCAGGCAGGCACTGTCCCAAGGTTTTACATGAGGATATCTTTATTACCTCAATTTTTGGGTCAAGAAAAGGCACTGAGATTCAGAAGCTTGCCCAAGGTCATACCAATTGTGAGAGGAAAGGCTTGGAATCGAAAGTAGGACAGTCCACATACCTAACACTATATAAAACTGACTCTTTAGAATATATGTTGTAAATGCTGTGCATCAACTTCATAACTTCACTGGACTGTTAAATGATTTGCTTTTAGAAGACAGGTTTTTTTGGTCCAACTCTCTAATTTTAGGAACGTATTCTTACTCTGAAATTTCTTAATATCAGTAATGTAGCCCTTCTTCATTTCTGCTTGGAATAAAATAATTTAACCTGATACAAAAAAATCCAGAGACAGCTGCCTAATACTTTTCCATTCACCACAGGCTTTGCCTGTTTCCTCTCTTTTATCCTTAACGTTTTTCACTCTACACTGGCTTCTTCCCTTGCCTAGAAGTACACTCTAGACTTCTCAAACCAATCCAAACCTACAAAGAAACATAGTATACTCAAAAATTTCTTCCTCAAACAAAAATAAACCTAAAAGACAAACCATTCCAAAAAAACCTCTTGAAGCTGCCACCCTTTCTTACCAACTCAAGTGGTCTATAACCATTTTTTCTATTTCCTTACAAGTAGACTTGATTTATCACCAGTGGGTAACCCTGGCGGAGGGTTTCTCACCTTGGAATTATTATTTTGGGCCAGATAATTCTTTGAGGTGTGTGTGTGGGTGGTTGGGGGCTGTGGTACATCGCCAGATGTTCTACAGTATCCATGGTCTCTGCCCTCTGGATACCAGGAGCACATCTTTCACTGGGTGTAAATGTCTAAACATTCACATTTTAGTAGATGACTAAAAATGTCTGCACATTACCAAATGCCCTCTGGGTGCAAATTCACCAGCCCAGAGCTACTGACCTAGTTACTTAATCTCTCTGAACTTCAGATATTTTATCTATAAAAATGATATCTAGGTGACTACTAAAACTACTTCCAAGTATATTATATTGCTGGTTTCTATATCCCTCAATACAGTGAAACTCTTCCCTGAAAGGTCACTATTGTGCAAATCATTGCATTGCCATCTTTCTCTGTTCCAATCCACTTTTTCAGAAGCATCTGCTATTGTTGGAAGTTCTCTCTTCTTTGGTTCTGATGACATATTGTCTGGGTTCACCTCTCTCAGCGAATTCCACAATTTCAAGAGTCAAATGGACTCAAACTCTGCCAACCTAGTCAGTACTATCAGAGATCCAAATTTTAATATAAGATTCTAGTCTGTTATTAGGTCACACAATTTCATGGTATCTACACTTGCCTATACTATACTACAGTAATACTACTACTAAAAGAATGCCAGCATTTCACTGAAGCTTAAGTTTAGATTTACCATGTCCTGGTAGACTTGGCAGTATGACTTTGGAGGTACTTTTCAGACAGGGTCTTGCTACAAACCCAAGCTGGCCCTGAACTAAAAATCCCCCTGCCTCAGCCTCCTGCGTGGTGAGATTACAGGTATGCACAACCACACCTGGCTAAGTATTTTTAAGCCCTGATTTGGTCAGTGCAATGAGGATAGAGTAATAGTATTCACCTCATGAAGCTGTGAAGAGTAAATAAAACATAAAATAGCATATGAAAGAGATTCAATTAAAAGTTAGCTATTATTATTGTTGCTAATATCTAGGTTATGATATTATCTTTAAATATTCATCTGTCTCATCCTGTCCCACTTGATTACTCTTATAGTTTTACTCATGTCAGTCTTTTTAAAAAAAAAAACTCACGTATTTCTTGTTATCATTTTAAGCATTTCAACAAACTGCATGTTTTTACCTCTTACATTAGTAGGTAAGTCTGGTGAACTGGGTAGCAATGGAATTGTATCTGGGAAACTATACACACACATGCACACCAAACTATAGATGCAGCTATAAAGTTAGAAAGAAAAAAAAAAAGTTAAAAAGAATAACTTCTTCTGGATTGATCCAAAGCCAATTTCACAAGGTCTTTTCAAATATTATAGGCAAGAGGCAATTTCCAAAAGAGTCTAGCAAGGTATTGCTGAGCTCCCAAGTCATTCTGAAGAACAGGATGTAAACATTTTGGTTTTTTGAGGTCGAGGAGGAAATAACGAGGTGACCTAGTAAGTCCTATTAATGATTATATGGAAGAAAAGATTAGTAAATCTGAAAGGTGTTTTATTTATTTATTTATTTTGGTCAAAAACCAAAACCAAAAGACTAGAGGTAGTGTGTGCCTGTAGTCTCTGCTAGGAGGGAGACCAAGGCAAGAGGATAGCTTAAGCCTAGGAGTTCAAGGTCAGCCTGGGCAACACAGAGACTCTGTCTCAAAACAAAAACAAAACACCCAAAAGACTTTAGAAATGTCCCCGTGGATGTCTGGTATCTGCTGGGTCCCTTAACTCGAGGCCAGGGTAAAAAAGGAATCAGCTAGGCTGATTAATACAGATAATGTTCACAACAATTAACCCTTCTGTCATGAATCTAATCTCATTTAACTCTCTAGGTTTAAAAAAAAAAATCCAGGCCGACAGAATAGAACGTAGTATTTTTCTCCTTCCTTAACGAAGGGCCAGAGACTGGGCTGGGGAATGGGGTCAGAGGCAAGAGGATGTTCTCACGGGGTACGAGAACCGTTCTGCTAGACCCTGCCAGACCTGGGCCTCAGCGGTTGAAGCGAGGGGCGCCGAGCTGTGTCCCTGCCCGAGTAGGACTCTCCGAGGCCGAGTCGGCCTGCTCGGGATGATTCTGGGCCGCGGGAGCGACGCCGGGATGCTCGCGGACTGCGACTGAACGTGCGCTGCCCCAGCAGGCCCGGACCGGAGGGACTGAGGCCTAACACGGAGGAGCCCGGAGTTCGCGGTCACTTTCCTTTGGGGGCGGCGGCGGAGGGGCGGTTTGGGGTCTAGGGCAGGGCTTTACCAGGACGGTCCACCCCGCCCGCCCGTTAACCTGAGATTCTCTTTCGCCTGGGTTCGGTTCCAGTCGCTGCTCTGGGTGCCACCTCCGCCGCCGCCTTTGGGTCGCTGGTCCGTGTCCAGTCTCAGTGGGTCGGGTCTGAAAAACTTGGACTCGACTTCATCCAAGAGCTCATCCAAGCCCTTCGCCATCTTGAACCGTGACGTCTTTCCCCAGCTCCAGGGGCCGCGGCGCCGGGTGGTTTCCAGGGCAACTCGCGGACCCTCCGCGGGCGCTAGGGCCCACCTGACTCCGCGCATGCGCGAGCCGTGCGACAGGCCAGTACGCCGGCGAGCCGGAATCGTTGAGGGGCTCTCGTGGAGGCCGCGGTGGGTTCCCGAGGCCGGAGCTTTTCCGTGGCCTGCGCTCGGAGCGGCCGTGCCAATCTTGGACACCAGTTTTCTTCCAGTGGTATTTCATCCCATCTCTCCCTCCCGGGCCCAAGCTGTGACTACAAACACACTCTTTCTCCTTTCCTTATCTACTCCGTTTGGGTCCCCTTTCTTAAATTGGTTCAGCAGTTCATAAATTCTTTGGATTATCTGCTGAAGATCCGAGGGAATGCACTCCAAAAGAAAAACTCCTTGCAGCAAAACCGAAACTTGCCGTAGTCGGCAGGATTCGAACCTGCGCGGGGAGACCCCAATGGATTTCTAGTCCATCGCCTTAACCACTCGGCCACGACTACTGCTGATGTTAACTTTAGCAGGAACATTCCATGTAGACTGCGCAGAAGCGTCAGCTGCAGTAACAGGTGTCCGGATCCGGAGGAAAGACATTGGTAAGCTGTTCTGTCTGATCAGGACATGCTCCGGTGTTACAGCGTTAATCGTTCTAGTTATTCAAAGGACTCTTAGAACGTATCCCAGAACGTATCCCAGCTCCTTCTATTCCATCAGAAAAACGAACTCCCGGAGAGAGAAGGAGGAAGGTAGAGGAGAGAGGGACCGCGTGCGGGAGAGCCAGCGCCCGCCCTGCACCTTTGTACACCTGCCTGTTTGCACAGGGATGGAGCCATTTCTGTTGGGGAAGTGGGAACTGTAGGGCCGAAGATCAGGTCACTCCTTTTGGCGATCTTTTGAACGAACACCTCACAAGACACTCTTTTCACCCACTAGGAAACAAGATACTGTTACTTGCCGGTTTAAATTTACTGTGCATGGTGAGACAGCCCCATTGTGCCATAAAAGACATTACTTTGAAAAAGCGTAAGTCATGATACAAACATAAGCTACATTATTGTCAATAATGGTATTCTTATAAATAGTCTCTGTGGTCTAACCTGTGCTTTGAGTAGTATTTCTAGCGAGACTAGCAAAGAGGTTGGCCTTCCTCGAAACTCTGGAGATGGCTTGATCTAGATGTTTATTACCAGTTTCATTTATTTGGTTTGTTTTTTGCTTAAAATAACTTTAATGTCCCTGAAAGGCAGCGTGCAGTGCTAGAGCTAACAGTACCTACTCACTGGAACCCACCTTTAACTTTAACGATGAATTTGGGGAGCCAATTATTAAATGCAACAATTATTAAAATTAAATTATGTAAATTTATAATTATATTAAAACTAAGGTGGAACTAAGAAAGTCATCATATTCTAGTTATTTCATTCCATTTTACTATTTATGCTGCCGAGTTTATTTACATCTTTTGTACCTGAAATTATAATATAAAAGCGGTTGCTGTTGTGCATCTTTTCTTGCCTTCGTTTAGTGATGTTGCTTAGGAAGCTGGGTGTTAGCCGTGGTGGATGTATTTACAACAGGGAAATTGCTACAAAACATGGCTTTTAACCACTAAGAAAGAGCTGGTTGTCATTTATTAGCACACCACTAATGTTATTGGATCAATTTTGCGTATTTTTGGGAATGCAGCAGTTCCTTTCCTGTGAGGTTGCTCTGGTTATGCCCCCTGCAGCTTTGTTTTAGCTATTAGAATCCTGGTTTATCCGCTCATCAATTAGAAAAATGTTTTCCTAAGTTGCCTTGCCATGTAATTGTACCTGGAACTGGCCTCCAGCAGAAAACCAGGAAAAAGCCTCTTAAAAAGCTGCCCTTGCTGCTTGGTTCCAGGCAAGAAATGCATTGTTGCTGTCCCATTTGACAGGCTTACATTATTGATTTGATTTTTCTCTAGAAAAGATGAAATCTGAGGTGACAAGTACCAGTAAATTGAAAGAACCTCTTAGCTGGTAGATTTGCAATGAGCAATTGTGGAACTAGAAAAGAAAAAATGTTTCTAGTATTGTGTATTTTGTTTGTGTGAATTTTAGAAAAAATTGGAGCTTGTTCCCTCTTTCCTCCATTTTAATAAAAGACCATGTGAAGATTATCCAGTGTTTGCTATTTTGAAAATTTGGTTTACAGCTCTTTCAGCTCTTCAATGGATCTCCTGACTTTAATCATGCTTCTTTTTTTTGACTTGCCTCAAAGAGAAAAGACAAGTTCAGTGTCTACAAGGAAAAATGCCACATATCACAGAAGTGTGATGCAGATGTGCACAGCTGTGTGAGAAACTCGAAAATGATTAGCATATTATTAAAATCTCTAGATGCCAGGAGTGATACCAGGGAGCACTTCAGTGGACAAACTATGGCGGTGGATGTGCAAGATGAATCCTGACATGGCTTTCCAAGCTTCTATTACGTTCATGCAAGTGAGATTAGAAGATAATTTTAAAAAAATTCATGTGATATATTCCTTGTTTTCCAAAGTGAGAAATCTTTCTTATCTCTATAATTTTTAATGTGTGTAGACAATTTGTGAATCCTTGTTCCTTAAGTCTTTCTCAGTCTTAGGAAGCATGCTGAACATCAGATGTTTCAGAAAGGAGAACAGGTGAGTGCCTTCAGATACAATTATTAAACATGTAAAAGGAGTGTGCTACCTATTATTATACATACAGTGCTTAATATTCCAAGTGTTATGGTTTATATCTAAATGTCCTCCCGAAGCCTCATGCATTCATGAAGCTGGGGCTTTGGAGAGGTGATTAGATCATGGGGGTGTGATCCTCATCAGAGGATTAGTCCACTGAAGAGTTTATGAGGTGAAACCTGGTTGCTAGAGGTGGCTTGCTGGGGGCATGGCTTAGAAAGGTTTATCTCCTTCCTTCCTCCCTTGATCTCTCTCTGCTTACTGTCTGCCAGACTGTGAGCTGATTCTCCTCTGCCATGCTGCCCTGCCTTGGAGCCAGTCCACTGGACTGAAACCTCTACAAAGTTCGAGTCATAATAAACCTTACCTTCTTAGAGTTGTGGGTGTTGGACATTGTGTCTCAGACATCAGAAAGGAAGACACCAAAGAAGTATTTTAGGGAAAAGTTGTCCAAATTAAGAAAACAAAGCCCGTGTGCTTTTCAAAGTAACCAAAAACTGCTCTGAAGCTGCTTTTTAATAAATGAGTTAGAGGTGATGATACAGCTGGTTCTGTTGTCCCCTGTAGCTGCAGGCCAACCCCTGCAGTTACTGGGTGTTTTGTAATCTTCCTGGCTATTCCCATAATGAAGTGCAAGGCCTCTTTGAATTCCCATGTCCGTCCCCAGGTTTAATTTTCCCTGCCCTGCTGTTCTCCCGACACATCACAGGCCTGCTGAGTGAATACCTATGGCTGGGCAGTGACTTTGGTGTAAGGTGGTGTCCTCCTGGAACAGTCACAAGCCTCCTGCACCTGAGGCTTTGGAAGAAATGGAATAGCATTGCAGCAGCTCTAGTTCTTCTAAATTGTCTCTGAGTTGGGCCTCAATGTCATGTAGGTAAATTCAGTCCAGCACATGCAAAAGCTTTATTGGAATTTGTACATTCATCTCCCACAGCTGTGGAGAGTTTAGACTAACCACAACCCTCACTGGGATACTATCATCTCAGTAATTTGAAAAAAGACCAGGAGCCTGAAGGCTTGGAACATCTTGAGAAACCTCTGGCTCTGAAAAAATACATCATCACATGTGGGGGACACCACTTGCTGTATCATCGCAGAGAGTTTAAAAATGCTGAAATCAAGTATTTCTCTGGCATGATTTCAAATGGTTTGAGAAATCTGAGAACTTTTTTTTTCCTCACTGCAAAACAGATTCTTTCCTCTTCCATCAACCGTGTTGCTGTCAATGTGTCCATTGTTAGGTGCCAGAAATGAGCCCAGCCTCTAATGATAACAATGCCAGAGTTAACATAGCCACCAGGGGCTCTCTCAAGAATCTGTTAGGGTGTATTTTGATCCACAGACACGTTCTGAAGGCGTGCACCTCCTTAGTCTTTCTAGTCTCAGTACATTTCTCTTCAGCAGCTGGGATAAAACCTGTCACATTTTGCCAGATCTTCTCATGCTTTGGGGCCCCTCAGACACCATTTTTCATTGACCCTTGTGTCCATATGATAGGCCTTGGTTCAAAGTTGGTATTTGGGAAGCAGCTTCTGACAGCACAGAGGCCTAGGGAACTATAGCCATTTGTTTGAAAGGCTAAGATTCACAGATGTGCTATAAGAGTGCAGTATAATTTTGACTCCACCCCAAATAGATATTTTATCACCATCCATGTAGCGACAAACAACAGGTCAGTGTGTGGAGGCAAGTGCTAATGTATGTGCCTCAAACCATCAACCCTCTGAGGAGCCAGTAGGCTCTTTTGGTTCTAGTTTTGTGAACATGGCCCCCTCTTCCTCTGTGTTTCATATCATTTTTTGCTTTATGATTTTTAACCTTTAGACAATTAAACCGATTATAATGAAAGCAAAGTGAGGACCAAATTGGTGGAAATATCTCACAGGTCCAGGTCTAGATTTGATGCCTGTTAGTCTTCCTTTTCCCTCCACTGGCCATATTGCCCCCAAGGAGGAAGCCAGGGTTTTAAGCAGATCCATTTGCCCTATTCTTCAGTCACCATTCTGCCTGACAACGAATTGTTAGGGCATCAGTAAAGGTACCTGTTGGTATCTATCTTACTGTGAACTGCCCAAGGAATATTTGAAGACTAGGAAGGACTTTAGTGATTGTGTGTAAACCTTTCATTTTACAAATGAGGCAATTAAGGCCAGAGAGATGAAATCATTTAGTAATTATTATTCTTTGGAGAGTTTCATTGTACCATGCATTGGGTTATTTAACTTCATCATTATGCTAGTTATTTTGGCTAATACTATTTCTAGTGGATCTAAGATTGATCATAAAAGATTTATCATATAAATTTAATGCTAGATTGCCCTATTTTGGAATCTTTTTCAGGCTTGGTTTAACATACTAATAAAAAGATTTCCTTTCAACTTCAATTTCAATGGCCTGCACCACTCTGATACACCCACAGCTCTGTAGATTAATGACTATGACTAGATCTCATATTATATACGAGGAC